CACGCAAGTGCATCCGAGCAGAGATTCCCAGGACTCAAGGAGGAAGTCTCAAAACAGCCAGGTTCCTCCTAATTAAGAACTAGAACAGGCCTATTAGACACAGCCTGCAGGGACAATACAGAGCCTCACCCCTTGAAGGGAGCCCTGGGAGATATATCTTCCTGGACTCCCTGACTTGCCCACTATTTTTCACATGCTTGCTTTTGGGGTATATCCTGCCCTTGCATGCTTGAGCCAGCTCAAATGGAGAAGCAGGCCCATGGCACAGGGACTGTACAAACATGGGTGAACAGCTCCTTTTCCCCTATGGGCCTGGAAGAACCTGTCCCTAGAACATCCATCAAAGAATGCGAGTCTGTTTCATGTTTTTCCATCTGAGAACCTTGAGCAGTTGTTTTTGGAATTCCCTATTTGTAATTATTAATAAATAATTGCTTAGCATTCTATGGAGCTAATTAACCTAGGTTTTGAAACCAAAAAAATTCCTAAATTGAGAAGGAGGATGAAAGTCATTCTTTTGTATAATTTAGACTCATCAACCAACTCTAGGTGTTTAGGGTACAATCTCTTTCTTAAAAGTGCATAGTGAGAAGCAACAATAGCTGTATGATAAAAAAAATACAGAAAGTCCTATTTTATTAGCCATTTCCCCCTCAGGCAGGATCATAGAAACAGTTGTTTTCACTAACAAAATAAAAAGCGATCATTTAAAGTCTTTCTGAATAGCACTTTCCCCTCAATATTATAATATGATATGAGCAGCTACTTTGACACAATATGTAAAAGGATAGTTATGGAAAATCCAATATTAATAGGCCAAGATAAAAATAAAATATGCTAAGAAATGATTAAAAGCTTGGAATGTGTCTTAGGGTATAAAGGATGAATTTTGCTCATGGTTCAAACAATCCCAGTAACCCTGGGGTTTTCAAACTTCATTGCAGTGCAGTCCCCTTAGGGCAACAAATTACTACATGACCCCCAGGAGGGAGGGAGCTGGAGCCCAGCCCTGCCACCCCAGGTTGGGAGAGACGGGGGCCGGAGCCCAAGCCCCGCTGCCATGGGTAGTGGTGGAACTAGGGCTTCAGCTTCAGCCTTGGGTCCCGGGAAGGCTAATGCTGGCCCTGGCAACTCCATTAAAATGGGGTTGCGACCGACTTTGGGGTCCCACCCCACAGTTTGTGAACCGCTGCCTTAATCCTTGTGATTGGGGTGTATATGTGGTGGAACTCCATGCAATCCTTGAATAGGCTGTTGAACAGGGGAGGTTGGAGGAGCGAACAGGATGGGCGTTTGTGGTGGGAAGGACATTAACATCACTCTGACTCCAGGCTGCAGTGTCTTTCTCTGGTTCCCCCTTTGTGATGGGGCTCTTCTTTAAATGGTAGCCTCTGGTGCAGCCCAAAGACTCTCTTTGGAGAGAGCTATGCCAGGGAAGCACCACTACAGCCACAGTACTAGGAGGGCTTGAACACATGATGGCATTCTGGCCCCATTGAGGTCACTAACAAAAAACTCACATGATTTCAGTAGAGCCAGCAGTCCACCCAGAGCCTCCCAATGTGCATAGTCCTGGCCCCCTGCTGATGCCTTGGGATCCATGTGGAACCCTGGGGATCTGTACAGTTTGGGAACCAGGCCAAGAAACTGTACTGAGGGGGTGCAGAAGGGGAAATCCCTCCTCTCCCAAGAATATTAACAGGGAGAAATCACTGCAAGGAGAATGTTGTATAGATTTTCTCCTCCTTAGTCCCTTCCTTTGGGTTTGCCACGTGAGAGGGTGATGTTGATCTTTGTTAATAATTCTGTTGATGATGCGTGAGCCAGAATAGAATCCAGCTCACTCTGTCTGAGCTCTGCAGGAGTAAAAAGCAGTAAAATATTTATGTCTTCAAAGTCAGCAGGGAACAGATCTGCTGGGTTAGATGCAGCCATTTTATTAAAAGTCATTTTTCCTAGAAGAGCAACCACATTAGACAGACAGCTAGGCCATTTTTGTAATAAGAAAGAAACCTGTTTAGGTCTCCAATTGTGTCCTATTTGAAGGAAAACAGCACCTATTTTGCTCAGCACATCAAGGAAAAGTCCACAAAGTCAGAATCAGTTCTCATCATGAGTAATCTATGAAATCTATTTTTAAGTTTTTAATTGACATTTCCGAGCCTAGTGCTGCAGGCAGCTGTAATGAAGTCATTTATGACACTGGCAGAGCCAAATGAAAAACCAGATGTAAAAATGTAAACCAGATTCCAACTTGCTTTAATAATGGTTAACCATCAAGAAAAGTAATATTTAAACAAAACTTTTTCATTTAAAAACATTTCTTTTGAACTGTTAAACTAAGCAGGTTGGAAACTGGTTTGCTACATCTCTTCCGTATGAAGATTGTGTAAATTTAAAGATAAGTTATAAATACTGGTCGTGTTAAATCAATGGAACAAAAATTTGGCCTTAGATCTTCAACAGACAAAACAACCATTGTTTGGGTCCTTGCTAAACTGGATGTACTGTAACATTGCTAAGCTGTCCCCCTAACTTACATTGTGTCATTTGAGATACTGTGGGAGAATTTGTTTAAGAAAAGTTTTACAATGTTCAGAAAAATGTACATGCATTTGGTGTGATTATATATGTAGGCAAGTTAATGTTGATCCTGGCTGCAGTTATTAGTGCTCTTTAGAAGCTATACATATCACTAGAGAATTGTATGATTACTTGTGCTTTGTAAACTTTCTCACCTGCTATCTCTCACATTAGTCATTGCTGATAGCAGAGTTTCAGTTACATAGTGACATGGAAAGTTATTCTGTCCTTAGCCATTAGACTTTTTTGTTCCTGGGGAGATGAACTGGTCATGCATCAACTGTGACACAATATCAGGATCACTTTACCTGGCAGACATCAGTATCCATTTCTCTTTCAAGCAGATCAAGGTTTTTAAATCACATATAACTACTAAAAAAGAAGAATGTGTCCATCATCATAACATAGCACTATTTTTATGTATCACGAGCAAGCTGTCCATGCAATACTCCTCCAAACAAGCTCCCAGCACCAACATTTTCAATGTCAATGGATCAAATTTAGTCTTGCTGCAATAGGATACACCTCCCATTGAAGCCAATTTGACCCATTCTGCCTCATAATCCATTGAATACACAAGAGCATTTCTGCTCTCATTTACACCTCTGTGACACTGATTAACTCAATGGGGGACACTGTGGTTTAATTAAGAGGGAGGTTTGATCCAAGAAGTTGTTTGCAGACAATGTTCAATCAGCCTATCTACAAACTTTACAGATTTGGTCATATGCAACAAACGACATATGTGTAAGAGAACCTCACAATAGTATTTGTCTGGTGAGACAGTTAATCAGGATGGGATAGATAACTAACTGCCGTACTTCATGTTTTTTCTACATGCACTTTCTATCATCATCATGCTCATTACTAGGATGGAGTTGTTCATATGGCTTGTGAAACTGGCTCCTTTTGGATGTCAATGTTTTTGAGGTTGTGAATGGGATTTCCAATCTTCTAGCAGGGAATGCTGCAGAGCTGGCATCAGTTACAGCATACTGGAGGAGCAGAAGCTTATTTCAACAAGAAAGTGCAAGCATATCCCCATTGTTATTGTTAGTGAAACATTTATATTGCAATAGTGCCTGGAGGCCTCAACCAGGTGGGGGCCTGATTATGCTAGCCACGATACAAATGACAGTTCCTGCTCCAAAGAGCTTAACATAGGGCCTGATCTTCAAAGGACCTCAACACAGTCTCTCTTTTTCCCCTCTCCTCCAAATATATTTACATCCACAAAAAACTTTCCACGTTTAACTGTAGGTTCAAGTGCTAAGCACTTAGGGGTAAAATCCTGGCTCCACTGAACTCAATGGTAAAACTTTCATTGACGCCTGGATTTCACTGTAAAAGGTCTCAATATGCCAGTTGTGGGCACAATCAGCTGGTAAAAGGTCTATGTGCTGGCATTTATGAAATTATGTCCACAAAAACAGAGCTTCTCATATCACAGTGACAGGCAGCTGTCATAGGGTGTGGCTGCCCCAGAGCGCCCCCTGTTGGTAGAGGATAACGTAGCCAGCAATACCTGCCTCGGATTTCCTCAGATTTCCTCCCTGAGGTTAGTTTTCTCAGCTTTCCAGACGCTGGCCTTTGCTGGAGATGTGGCTAAGCCCTCCAGCCAAGTTACAGACAAACATAACCCCTTTTGGGATAGCAAACTTCTCAAACAAATAAAAAGGTTCTTCTGCCCTTCGGGATTTTTCTGCAACCCACCCTCTGAGCCCAGTTCACAGCCCCTTTCTGGGCTACCTTTAAGACTCTTTCTCTGCTCTAGGCTGCCTGCTCCCTGTGGTTCCAAGTCCAGACTGAACTCACTCTCAGTTCTTTTATTAGGTCCAGGTGTCCATTAAGGTATCACCTGACCTTCTTTAGTCCTGTGATCTCAGGCTGGGAAGCAACTAATTAATTATTGTCAGGTGTACCTGGCCCCATCTCCCCTTAAAGGGGATAGTGACACTGTGATGACAATCTTACAAAAAACTATATAGGCAGACAGCCGGATAGGATTTTTTAAAAAATTACTTGATAGTTGGCCTTATTTGGTCGTGGCATGGCACTCTGGAAACCTCGCTGAGAGTGAAATCAGAAAACACAAATCTTTGCTTTTCATTTGTTCAGAAGCTCTGCAGCCATTATTATTGAAGGGAGGTGCAGAGGGGTACGATATTGCCCTTTATATGTGTGGGGAGAAGGGGAAAAATTTTAATAACTCTAGGAAAAGGTAGGGAGAGTCACTGACTTGGGATTTGAAGGCAAACTACAGATAAAGTTAACACTGGAAGCTGGAACAAATATGAGAAAAAAATTATAGCAAACAATTATCAATGAAATGCTCAGAAATGTTCATTATAAAACTTTTTCTTACCTTTTTACTAGGATTAACTGTCAAACTGTTTAAAAATACGATTGGAAAAAAATGGAATAGCACAAGTGTTTATTCATTCATGCTTCCTTTGTGTATCAGATTTAATCACGAAGGACAATGGAAAGAATCTAAAAGATGCTGGTTTTATAAGTTAGTCAGAAATGTGAAAAATTATAGACTATGTAAACGAATATGAATCTCTGACGCATATTAAAATAGCTATAATTTTACAGGCATTACGTAAGACATTAAAAAATACAGATACCATATCTATCACAGGAAATGATTCTTCTGAAAAATTATGCAGCAAGTTTAAAATACCCACCCTGGAACAGACAAGATCAAAAGAAAAAATGAATCATCTCTATTTTGGGTGCCAAATACCACAATGTCACTAGCACCTTCAGCTGAGCGTCAGTGCTCCCAGGAAGCTACTGTACGCTTTTATAAAGTCCTGCTAGTGATTCTTCCCATAGACATGTAGTAATCATAAACACATATCATCTGTATATGTGGCAAATGGTATGAAACAAGACTGACCTTTAGCGCCACATATTAGTGAGACGGTGAGGGCATTTTATTTATTTATTTTTAGATACTGCATCATCATGACAAATGAACTGGTTAGGTAATGTCTACAACAAAAAGTCTACACATCCCCTTCCTTTAGCTAATGAAGTATACACACTCTAAGGGCAAACTCAGATTTGGTGTATGTGGGTGCAACTCCATTGACTTGAATGAAGTTATACCGTGTCTGATTATGGCTTAAAATCTATGTTCAATAGTGCTGGCAATTTTCGTGTCATCTGTGCTCTAGCTTTATTACTGTACAGGCCCCTCTTTCTTGGAGCCTTAGACCAATACTCCTGTCCTAATCAAAGGAGAGGAAACATTATTAAACCTATTCCTATAAGTGCACTGAATACTAAAGGCTATAATTATACACTGGGAAAAATGCCTCCCAGACTGTGTAATATTCTATAAACCATACTGAATTCCTGATGAAAAAAAGAATGCTGAAGTCATTATAATTTTCTGATCAATTTTCATTACTGCCATGCTGTCCTCTTCCTTCTTAAAGACTTTAAAGGCCTACTTTTCATTTACACTAAAGCCACTTGACACTGCTCTAGCAGCATAAAGTGGCCGTAAAGTGGGAGTAAGTTTTTCTTGCGCCCACTTTAAGGACACTTTATAGTCTCATGGTGCATCTACCCTAGTAAAAGAGGTGTATTTTTCAGCATGTGTTAGCTTGTGTGGACAAAGTGGTTGACAGTTTTCATGTTAGCAGGTCAAACTGAACACCAGGGGGAGCTTAGGGTGGTACAAAGGAGCAGTAAAGTACGTGAGAATCAGGACATCAAAGTCTCAAAACAATTAACATTATCTTCATCCTCTGAAAGTAACCAACATGTTCTCTCTGTTTGGAATTGCTTCAAAAAACAGTGATGAAATCTAAATGCCACGCTAAACTCCCAGAGCAGAACTATATTCAAACTTTTTCTCATTGTTACTGTACTGGGAGATAGCAGACAGAATGCCTGTGGAAAATATAATCTTGTCTGGACGTGACCTTTCGCTAGAGGGTTCTATATGTAAGATCCAGTAGCTGATCGAGAAATTTGTATTGGGATCCTGGGTGGGGTGCAGGATGCACATACACTTTATGTAAATGACTATGAAAATTATCTGAGTTTAAGTAGCACAGCATGATATCTAAGACTAATTAGTGCAAAGATTAATTAAATTAATGCACTACAATTTCATTAGTGTGCTGTTTACTTCCTCTTTTCAGATCATTAATGAAGGTGTTAAATAAGAATTGGCCTAACACTGATCCCCTGCAGTACCCAACTAGACACACTCCAGTTTAACATTACCCTTTGCTTATGGTCGTTTAGCCAGTTTTCATTACACATGAGAGCGTTCTTAACACTTACAATGTGTAACAAGTATTACAGATTATTAGCAATAAAAATGATAAACAAATCAATGTTTAAAGATGGAAACTCACTGACATGGAAATTTTAGTTCCCTGTGCCACTCTCAAGAGTCAGGTTAACATCCTGTTTTTCAATGGTTGATTGCCAAAATTCCTGTGCATAACCATCTGCAATATTAAAAATATAAGAGTTTTGGCCTGACCATAGAAGTGTACATTGTATCAAGATGACAGCAGTTTCTCAAAGAGGCAGACCAAGTTCCACCCAGCAGGCCTTTAATCTATTTTATGTTTACACAGAACTTGCTATTCTTCAGTACGTCAGAACAAAAAAAGGATTGTAATCTCCCATGCCTAGAGTTGGCAAAAAAACAAAAATGAAATGCCCCTATAGACCACTCTGTTCTACTGCAGTTACGCAGAAGTGATGAAAAATAATAATTTAAAAAAAAACATACAGCAGACGGGGGTTTACTATAGTTACATGCTGCAGAGTTTGCATGTTGGGTGGCTCTTTTTCTGCAAGATAACGTGGTTTCTCCCCCAAGAGTTGGGGTTTTGAATGCAATCCAAATCCTCAATCTGATTTTACATGACTGTGGTCTAATTCTGATTTGTATTTGTCACCACTTTCAGCAGCAGACATTAATTCAGCAGTTTTGCTTGGAGACTGGAGAGGGAGATTAAAAGGACTAAATCTGTCAAAGGTAAAAGTACCTGCAGCTGTCTGAGATAATCACAATATTCAAGTGTTGAGATTAAATAGCAGATGATGGTTACAACTGATGTAAAGAGCATATAGTGGTTGCCAGTGAAATCTCTGCATTGTAAACTTCTCCAACAAACACTTCATCGCTTTCTTCCATTCTGCCTCCTTCTGCATGGAAAAAGTGCCCTCCTGGAACTAATTAGTAAGGTCACTACCCTTTCAAATCCCTCATTAAGACCCACCTCTGCTGCAATACCTGCTGTACCTACAAGACTCCATGCCACTAACGTTTTGTTACTTTGGGTAAAGTCAGGAATTAATGTAATTTGTGCACATCACCAGTCTATGTAACCATATGATGTTCTTACAGTTACCTTCATCCCTTCTTCCCTCCTATTGTTTGTTATGCTCACTTTTTGCATCTTGCTTCTAATTAGAATGTAAACTCTTTGGGACTGGGACCATGTTTCTAAAGCAATGGGCCTCTGATCCTGATTGGAGCCATTGTAACATCTACCGTACAAATAAATAATAATCCATTTACAACTCTGTAGGGTAAAACTAATATGTTAAGTGCACCTGGAAAGAGCCTATGCAGATCATGAGGACAGGTGAAATGTGCTGTCTGTGAGAAATGACACTAAAAAAGTAAGCAGCTGTACTTTGTATAACTGTACTTTCCAAACGATTAAGTTGTAGCCCCATGGGATCGAAGTTGGAGCTAACAAATACATGAATTACTATGTCCGGGGAGCCATATGCAAAGATGAAGATTGTAAACTGTTGACCTGGGGGGCAGGGATCAGCGTTCATGTCGCGTTCCCCATCAGTACCAGCCTGGCCTGGGCAAGCGAATAATCTAACCAGCGGACCAAACTGGGTGATGACTCCTGGTCGCAAGACACGTTGTGAATACGCTAAGAAGACTGTTGACTTGGCACAGGTGGTAAAATGTGCTCCAACCACTGATACTATTGAATCCTTCTGATGGCTCAGAAAACACCCCCGTATTGCGACCTGAATAACAAAAGTGGGCAGACAGTCAAAACTGAATGAGCCAGTTTCATCTACACCATTCCTTTTGACTATTTCCACTAGCTAACCAGCATTATTTTGACCCGCTAGGATCTGTAACTCAGTACCAAAAGGGACAGACAAATCTCAAGGAATTAGCATGGACACTGGATTTTCGTCAGCTGGAAGGCAGAGAACATCAACCAATAAAATCAGCAATGTATATTTCTTAAGGGACATTCATGTCTGTAAAGGAAATGAATAATTTTGGGTTTAAATACAAAATAAAACACAGAAAAATTAAATAAAAATGTGTCAAATATGTCAGGAAAAACTTCCCTCACCACATTTGTATTTTTTATGCGTCACCATTTAAGGTTTTATTTATTGCAGTAAGAAAGCCAATTATATATGAAAAAGGAAGCATTTTCAGTTAGAACTGCATGAAAGTTTTTGGATGAATAGTTTCTTCATCAAAAAATGCAATTTCAGGTCGACCAAAGTGACTTGTTAATTCAGCAAATAGTTTTGGCTGAAAAATAAAACTTTTTTATTTTAAACTCAAAATGTTTTGATTCAACATTTTCAGAACAAAACATTTCCACTTCATTTCAGAATGAGGCTTTGGCTTGAAATTCATAAATTACAAGGCCAGAAAGTACCATTATGATAATCTTGTCCGACCTCCTGTATAATACAGGGCATAGAACTTCCCCCAAATAATTCCTTGAGCAGATCTTTTAGAAAAACATCCAATGCTGATTTTGAAATTTTCAGTGATCGAGAATCCACAATGACCCTTGGTAAGTAGTTCCAACAGTTAATTACTCTCACTGTTCAAAATGTACACCTTATTTACAGTCTGAATTTGTCTAGCTTCAACTTCTAGTCATTGGATCGAGTTACACCTTGCTCTGCTAGACAGAAAAGCCCATTATTAAATATTTGTTCCCCATAAGGTACTTATAAACTGTAATCAAGTCACCCCTTAACTTTCTTTTTGTTAAGCTAAACAGATATAGTGATAGACTCATGGAGTTCAAAGGCATGTTTTCTAATCCTTTAATCATTCTTGTGGCTCTTCTATGAATCCTCTCCAATTTATCAACATCCTTCTTGAATCATGGGCACCACAACTGGACACAATATTCCAGCAGCAGTTACACCAGTGCCAAGTACAGAGATAAAATAAAATGTAGCTAGATTTATTTAAAAACAAAAATATGTTTAAAAACACCCCAAAAACTAAGCAAAATGAAAAAAAAAAATCATTTGGGACCAAACAAAATGTTTTGTTCAATCTGAAGCTATTGATTTTTCACCTTTTTATTTGTTTCAACAAACAAAATTTTTCCACTTCAGGTGAACTTGAAATGAAATTATTTTTGGATTTTTCAGTTCACGCTCAGATCTAGTTATAGTAAAATCAAATTCATTAATTTCAATGGCAAAATAAGTCTACTTACAATTAAAATTGCACTGAATAAATGTCTATGATTCCCCACCGAGGCACTAACTTGTTATGTAAGATACCACTCATCATTTATTTACATTCATAATTATGAGCAACATTCTCATTTTTCGTTACTTGATTCTGAAATCTTACAAACTAAGGCCCCAATTCTACAATCAATAGTGCACAGGCACAGCAGTCCACCGTCATGCTCTGCACTGCAGGGTCAGAGCCTAAAGGCCTGATCTAAAGCACACTGAAGTCTATGGGCAAATTTTCATTGACTTCAAATAGGCTTTGAATCAGGCACTTTAAGGGCACCATCTTGCATTCCTTACTCAGGTAGGGCTTCCACTGGGGTCAGTGGGAATTCTGACTGAGTAAGAAGTGCAGCACTGGACCCTAAATTTTTAAATGTATCATTTCCTATAATTGAAGTCAATTACAGAAGTTCCACTTTAATGAGAAAAAGTGATTTTTAGAATCACAGTATCTTTCAAGAACAGAAATGAGAAATATACACCACAGATTAGTTTTTACAATACAAGTGACTTCTAGACTTTTTTGTCTCAGTGTAAAAAGATGCAGTGTTTGTTTTTATTTTTCAACATTCCTCTTCCGTTGCTGGAGACTGATCTTCAGAAACAATTTTTTTAAAATGTTCAGCAGCATTCTCATGACTCACTATTGACAGTGGTGATAAATAAGAAACATGTGATAAGAGTCTAAGGCCCCCGGTGCAGCAATGCATTGATCATGTACTGGGGGATATGGATAGACTTTCATATGCACTTAAGTGCCTTACTGAATCAGGGGCCAAATCATAGCCTTTTCCTGTGTCAAAAATATGGACACATGCTGACATCTCTTGTAAACAGCCATGACAAGGCAGTATTACTATCACCACTGCATTTGCCTAAGATATCAATAATAGGCTTTAAAGATGACAACATGTGCACAGTTTAATATTGAGAATTTCTTCCAATGATTTTCTTATTTCTAATATTGTAAACACGTAATAATAATTAAAAAAAATCAAATGAAGTCATCTGCAGATAGTTTCTACTAAACATTGTTTCAGATCAGTCGTGACAAATGATAGAACTCCATGTTTCAAAAAGAAGAGAGATTTTGTAATTTGCAGCATACAGATTTGTAGCATCACGAATCACACATTTTCATTGCTGTTTAGATTTTCAGTTTCTCTCTTTTGCTCTGAAGTGACTGGTTCTTCCTTTATTAAAGTGTTTAATTGCTTCTGTGCACATGAGAGGAAGAGTTCCAAACTACACAGGCTACGTTGGCGGACAACTTGATCGAGCTGTTGGAAAAAAGAAAAATTAATTAGCAAAAAAACCTAGAAATAAATACCAAACTGTAAATAAAACCATTTTGAAATTAAATGCATTGAGTACATGCAGGATTTTAATGATACAATGAAATTTAATCAGATGCCCATATCTATGAATTCCCCCTAGCTAAAATGAATAAATGGCTATCCATAGTCATTCAACAGCTGTCAGTGTTTGTTAGATAATATTAAAATGTCCAGATTATTAAATACTTTAGGGAAACTTACACAAACATAGTACTGTAAATGAGAGATGGTTAGTGTCTTGGTCTGGGCACTTTTAAGTTGTCAGCCTACCCACAGGGTACACACAACAATATTACTGGTTTGGTCCCTTGTAATAGAACATCCCGTCTTTGACGGACCTCCAACACATCACTTTATTCCCTTTCCCCCGCATTGTTAGCAGTTCCTAAAAAGATAATAATCAATGATGCAGAAGTGACTAGTCAGTATTTCCTCCAAAAGAACAATCAGATTCCAGCCAAATTACATGATAGTAAAGGTGGGCTTTTTTACAGTACAGTCAGATCATTTAAAATATTAAATACTGCTTAAACAATCTGTAAAGTGTTATGAAAGTTTATTGCACCCTCAATGAATTCTGAAAGAAACAAGGGTTACCAAAATACAACCAAATAGTTGTGATATTCCAGCCTGGATTTGGTTTCCAAGTCAACTGTCTCCTTCCAGAGCTGCATGGTGGATAACTTATCCACTCCTTCCTGATTTGAGAATATATTTGTGTTCTTGATGTAGTATTCTAGGTTCCTTGAAACACCTCTTCCTTGACAATAATGTGCCAGATCCTCAAGTGGTATCGATCAGCAGAGCTTCTTTGAGTTCAGTGGGGCTATATCAGTTTATGCCAGCTGGGAATCTGAACTCAGATGTTTCACTTAAAAATTCCATTCTGAGTTTCCACCTTTTCTTTAAAATGTATTCTTTTATTGGATACCTACTGTGCAAAAAATCCAAAACCAGTGTAAACTGGTAGAACCTGATGGGTAAAAATCTTGGCTCCACTTAAGTCAATTGAAACCAATTGCAAAACTTCCATGAGGCCAGGATTTCACTCCATAGTCTGAAGAGAGGTTTATTAAGAGATTGTATATGGTAGAAGAGCGATACTTGTACTGGCTTGGTGCTCAGTGGATGTGCAAAAACAGTGCAACTTAAAGGAGCAGAAAAGGGTGGGAGGAGCAGGCACTAACAAAGACGTGAAATAAAGCATCACCATTTATATCACTGTATAATTTCCCCCTTAATATACAGTTTTAACCATTCTATTTACCGAATCCACTAAAATTATTATTTGTGTTGTTTGTGTAAAATCATTTCTTTATAGTTATTGCAAAGAGGTGAGGGACATTCCAGACATCCAAACTGCTGATCTGGGTTTGACGGTTAAAACCACCTGACCCAGCAACAACTACATGGTTTCTTAAAGATTTCTCCTCTTTTGGGAAACATTTTCTACATAAATGTTAAAAGACAACTAGGCCCACCGGCAATTGCTCACGATTACTTGCAATTTGGAAGTCAGTGTTTTCTTCTGGGTAAAACAGAAAAACAATTGGCTGATTTCAAAATGATAAAATACAAACTTTAAAAATGATAGGTAAAGTTAAATCTATTTATAACAATGAGTATATTGACAAAACTCATAATTTTCAGCTAGGAGACTGATTTTTTGGAAAGACCAACAAGTATGGCCCCATAACGAATAACCCAATTACCATTACAGATGAAAGACTTGTTCTAATGATCCCAGAGTCTTTGAAAATTCCCACTGGTTTTTATATAAAAGACACCACTTCTACAACAAATTGAACACTACAGCTAAATGAAACTGAAACCAACTGTGAACACTTCACTTTGAATTTGCTTGATGATGTATTTTTGTTGGTTAACACAGCAAAAGCAGTAAACTAAACATTTTTATTCACTCACTGTCTCTCTTCTGCACATTGCTGGATTCTCCTCCATCCAGGCTGTGGGGAACTCAATAATTCATTCCACTGAGGGCAGGGCCCGCTGTGATAAAGAGGGTGGGGCAAAGTGACAGGATTTGCCCCATAGTGTTGCATTTGCCAGGACATACATGAATGACACGGTAACATAGTTTACAAAAATAAGTTTGGAACTTCTGAATGTTATATTATTAGTGAACAAAATGAATAGCAGAAGCCCTATCATTTAAATCTTAATTTTTTTAATATGAAGCAAATAATATAATAGCAGAGCAATGCTTTCAACACAACCTTCTTTTGGGCAGCCTTATTTCAATTGAATTTATGTATGATAAACTCCTGGGGATCGAGTGAGAAGTAGTGGTATAAGTCTAATGAGATGTGTAAAGTAATGCCACTCAAGAGAAGTAGGTAATGAAATTCAGAAGAAATCTAATTTTGTACCACATCTGGCAAACTGTGGTGCGCCAGTGAGTAAGCAAGGTTTTGAACTGTAATCAGCTTTCTAACAGTCATGCAGATTGCCCATACAGCTGTAATACTAGGAAAATACCATTATGAGGCCATGTGGCCCTGGCAGACCTTAAGTGGTTAGCATTTGCAAATGGCCACGGTTTATGAAAATATATTATATGCACCACACATCTAGCACTCATGGATTTAATTATAGCTTTCAACAAAAACCTCAGATCCTGTGGTATGTTTCAGAGTATGTATTTAGACAGTTTGCTACCCATCAGTTGCCATAATGCTATCACAAAGGTTTGCATGAGGGCTATTCTAATAGGTAACAGCTTTTCTATTTTAATACATAGTGCTATGTCAGCCCAATGATACTGCCTCACTTGTCTTTGAAAAAAGCCTTTATGATTTAGTTACAACTGTGACTGAATGAACTATGGTAGATGTACAGGTTGTCACGAATCTGTTCACTGCTATTCCCTATACTGTCTTGCAGTGCAAACGAGACTTGCTGAAATACTGTTTCACAGTGTCATCTTTCAGCAGCTCTCAATGTCTCTTATAGCCACACCCAAACTACATCCCTCTTTCCTAGAAGCTATGCCCTCCTCAATCTCTCCATCATTATCTTACATCAGTTTCTATGTAATTCCTCTCATTCTGCTGCATCATGCACATCTCCAGCTGCTAAGAAACTTTTTGTCCTTCTCATTGGTAGTGCAGATCCCACTGCTCCACACGCTGCCAGATCTGAATTTAGCTCATATTTTATAAGTGGTTTTCAAACAGATCAGGTTCAAGTGCATTTCAAAGATCTGCTGATATAGTTTGATAACACCCGTTACAGACAAGCCATTGGAGGTGTGCAAGAGCGTGGGCAGGTGAGCCTAGCCCAGAGCAACATAATCCTCAAAACAGCAGTGGTTAGTGGGGGCGGGGTGAACTAGGGAGCAATACGAAGGCAGGAACTCTCACAGCTCATACCTCTGTGGATCTGGAGGTGTCCTTTTGATAGTCTGTATAGTTGGAATGTCTTGGTTCCCCCCTCTTCTGAAGTCTCCCCCAAGCCTTCAAGAAAATGTTTTGTAGAGCACGTTTCATAGGGAAACTTGCAAAAGTTTTCTGTGCCTCTTATCTTCTCCCTTGGTTTCTCCATAGGAAGGGGAGCTATAGCTCAATTTACATAGGATCATCTGGTATGACTAGCAAAGAATTTGGGACCCATTTCTCTAGAAAGATCACTAGGTCCTCATATTCTGCTCTGTCTGGTAGACATATCAGTTGGATACGCTAAGTGTGAAACCCATTTTTAACAGTTTTTCCTTTACTCCACATTACCGCGTGTACACTTATAGCATATCCTTTAATAAGTTATTCAGCTAAACTCCACCCCCCATCTTTTTTTTCAGCCCGATTGTGCAGATTCTGTTTCATGTAAATCAAAGCAGCCCTCCAGATGTGTGATCTGTGACACAATGGTGTTACCTTTCTTATCCAAGGCAGCAATCTCAAACTGTGTACTTGAAAATGTATTTATTTCACGAAGCATTAATGTAAACACTTCCTGCATGGCGTGGTTTGGGTGCATCTGAACAAACTCAGAATTCTTTGGCTTTTGATATAGAGGCTTTAGATTTTAAAAGTCTCAGGTGAATTAGCCATATGTTTGGGGATTTGTTGTTGGGTTTGTTAGTCACCATTTTTCATAAGGAAAGGTTATTGCTTGTTAAAAGTTTTAAAGTTTATGTAAACTCAGTAAAATAAGAGATCAGAAACTCAGTTGTCTCCTGTCTGCTCAGTTTATGTATTAGCTTTGCCTTCCCATTAAACATTACATTTTTAAACTCTTTCATGATACATAAATGACAAAGCACTGTGTATAAACACTTAGCTTCCTCTTATAACATGAGAAGCATAATGAAATGACGCTGGCTTTGAAAATGGTATATATTTCAAGTACATTCAAGAGGAGAATATTTCCTTTAATGTAGAAACAGGTCAGGAAGGAAAAAAAACAAGCAGCTTTGTTACACAATATATTGCTTAATGAAATGTTATCCACACTCAAACAAATTTTAATAAATAGTGCTTTCAACATCACTGCGCCTCTGCTAGCGAAATATATATGAAATGTGAAAATATGTATGAATGTTTTTCTAAATAGTCTTTCCTCTATATTTTTAGATTATGTTCACTTCATGGAATGATCTCATTATTTAAATAAAAATAAATGGGCATCTGGCAAATTCACAGACTGAATGTGACTCATATGCAAATATGATCAGTATGAATAACACCTATTTGGGCTTGAGTGTTCACCCACCCAAGAAAGCCCCAGAGTTCTAATTCTGCAGACACTGAAAAATGCATGAGCTTGATGATCTGGAATTACAACAGCAAGGAGAGATACTGCCACCATGATTAATGCCGAGGAGCATTTTATCTTCTGCTTACAACTGAAAACGATCAGGCACAAAGTCTCCTGGTTCTGTACAGTGCTGCCTTCTTTTAACATAGAGCTATTAATTAGGTACT